GGAGGCTCATGGCTTTCTGTAAATGCCCAAATGCACAAGATGGCAGCAACCGCGCCTCTTCTGAAGAACCTGGAGCAGCATGTCACCAGCCACGTGAGTACGGCCTGCACGGTTGCCGCAAGCCGTGCACAGGGGGGCCATGGCTTTCTGTAAATGCCCAAATGCACAAAATGGCACCAACCGGAGAATGTGGACAGGATGACTGTGCTTTGTGATGTGTCTTTGCTCTCCGGAAATGTTCTTCCAGCTTGCTTTGATACCTGGTGGCCTTTAGCACGTTTACTCTGTGTTGATGGACGACTTCTCGGAGCCCACGCGCCTTTCTTATCCACCTTTTTTGTGTCTTAACTGGTATTGGCTGAGGTTTTACCAGGCCTGAAGTACCTGCTAGGACCTGCTAAAATGCTTCATAGTTTCCAGGCTACTTGAAAGGGGCCTATGTGCTCCCAATCTTAAATGGGCTGTACTTCAAAGCAGTTTAGCAGTTTACAACTCACTTTCAATTGCTGTACAGCACAAGTCAGCAGCAGCAGCATTGCCTCGCGGAGATTGGAGCCGCAATGCCCTACAACAGCTCCATGGCAATTTGAGCCAATGCAACAGCGTACAACAACTTTTGGGACTACACAGTCATATTGCAATGTCTCTTGTTCTCTATGTAAGGTGAGCTTTGAAAAAAATCGACACTGGTTTAGCTCACCTGTCACAAGAGCTGCTGTATGATTTGCAGCAAGGCTGTTTGCCTAGAATCGCAGCAGGAAAGGGCATATACCCTCTCAGAGAAGTTAACGAAATGAAATCTATGCCCAGTTCAGCAAGGAGAGGAACCAAACCGCCTGATGAAATGCCAAAGCACGCCTTGTACTATGCGGCGTTTAATGTTCTTCAATCTCTCCCTTCAATCGCTCACGCCACAATATTTTGGCCTGGTGATTTTGGTGCGTCTCATACACTGCCAGTGGCAGCGGTTTCGTCAAGATTCGGAGATCGCAGCAGATTTGCAGCTAGAAGCAGGTGTTAACACTGGCTACATGCGCAGCACACTTGGTACATTGTACATTGCGCTGATAAGCTTTGGACTCGAAGAATTCTGGGAGCATCACTTCCTCGCCGCAAGCGTAGACCAAAATTTCAAACTTGGAAGACTTCGGAAGGGTGATAGAATAGCTTGTTACTGGTAGTAAGGCCAGGAGCCACTAGTAGCGTCCTTGCTCCTAGTAGCGATGCCCTTTGTTACTAGTAATGTCAACTCCGGATTAATCTGCCCCCCCCCACGTAGAAGGTCAACAAGGTCAAGAAGGTATGAGATACCACTCATGAGGTCCACTCCCCCTGAATTATCGGCTCAGGGAGCCATCGTAGTCGCAGCCGTCGTCGGTAGTAGGTAGTAGGTAGTAGGTAGTGCGTAGTAGGTAGTAGTAGGTAGTAGTAGGTAGTGGGTAGTAGGTAGTAGGTAGTAGTAGGTAGTAGTAGGTAGTAGTAGGTAGTAGTAG